CCCATATCAATCAAATTCTTATTGAACCCAAAGTGGCTGAGAACAAGAGGGTTCAGAACAGAGAGGAGAGAGCTGAAGTGCTCAATCCTCCTTATGCCTTTAATAAAACATCAGCGATGCTTTGCTACGAGCAGAAAGCTACAGAAATCAGCTTTCTCTGGAGAATGTCTGAATGAGCAGATGTGAGAACACAGGAGATCCACCTCAGGTTTCAACACGAGCGAGTGGGTGCATTGAGAAAGATTGATGCCGAAATAAATTCTGCACCTCCCCTTACCAGAACGCTACTGGAGATTTCTGTGTTGTTGCCGTCTGAGCGGAGAATCTCCTGAAACCGGCTCAAGATGTGATGTTGCAAGTCGTTCCTCTCGATGGTGGCAGGATGGTCACTGTGTTTGCGTTTTCGGGAAACCTCCTGCCTCTTCAGGAGGTCTCTCAGGTTCTTGGACGTTTGGTCCCTTAACCCATATGTCTCACCTGAGTGGGCAGCAAAGACTGTATCAACCTTCACCTGCAGAAGGTTTATGGCTCTCCTTAGCTACAACAATCCTGAGTTCAGTTCAGTTTTTTCATCAATCTTGTGTAGAAAATCGTGCACAGTGGTGCTGGGAGCTGACTTTGACAGGGAATAAGGCTGCATGCCAGCTCATCAACCAGATCCTAGCACAAGCTAGATAGCTTCACCAGTGTGAAGCTAATAAGTGATTATATTAACTTCCCACTGGTGAGCTCCAACAGAAAAAAAACATAAAAACATGATTTTTATATCAAATGTTTCCACTGTTTCATCACTTTGAATGCAGTTGGTTCCTATGCTGTGGGTGGGTGTTCAGAAAAACAAATTAAGCCATTGCTTTCTTTCATAATTTTTAGTGTTTTTTTAGCAGAATGCAAATGTCCATGTCATGTCCATCATGATGACTGAACTTCGACGCCACGTGCTGGGACGTCCATGTGTGTGAGTTCATGTTTGTCTCTGAGCTGAGGCAAATTTAGCACCTTGTGACTCGTCCATAAAAAGCCAGCAGTCTTTTTATAGAATAGATGCAAAGAAGACGTGACTCATGCGACTCACTGAGGAGGAAGGGGGTGATGCTGCGCACACACACACATTCACACAGAAAGCCTTTTTCCTCAGAGCAGCAGATTGTTGACTGAAGGCTCTGAATAATAAGTCATGTGATCCTACATAAATATACACACCATGCATCCAAAATTGATAATGAATATACAGCATCGTAAATACACTCGTCCATAAATTTTTACTGACTGTTCATCATGAAATATTAAAGTGTTTTAGAAGTCCCTAATTAATGTTTGTGGCATTTTATCACATGTAACTTTATTAACTCAACAAAACAGTGGCCTATGAAGTTAAAGGTACAGTGTGTAGAATTTTGTGATATCTAGTGTTGAAGTTGCATGTTGCAGCTGAACACCCCTCACCTCACCCTCCCGTTCTAAACATGAAAGAGAAACTGTGGAAACCTTCAGTTGTCATAAAAACTCAAACGGTGTTTAGTTTGTCCAGTCTGGACTAATGTAGAGAGGACCCCCTCATTTTAAATATAAAGTATTTCAATATAAAGGGCCTTTTTTGGGGTAAAGAAAACTACAATTCATACAATTTAGATAAAACCAACTTGTGAAAACATCATGAGGATTATTCTACATTCAATTTCTGCCAATAGATCCCTTTCACCTAAATCTTACACACTGGACCTTTAATGTAAGTGTCACAAATATTTTACCCTTGTTTACAAACCCATAACTGAATAACCACAGAGGTCAGAGGCATTATAGATTATTCTAATTGGCCTCTGTACAAATGCTCATGGGTGTCAGAGAAAACGCCTCTAAATTAAAAAGGGAGACACAAGTTACAGCCCCTGCTTCAACTCCTCTTCCCTGAATGGGTTTTATTGTTCTGTTTAATAGATGTTGAAATATTCTGGACAAAAATATCCTCTTCGTTATTCTTCGCTCCTAAATATGTATTTACCCAAAAATTCAGTCAGTACGAGCTCAGCCGGAAATCATGTTTGTTTTTGAGTCTTAGCAGCATCAAATTCTCAAACTCATAGATATCAGTTCTCTAAATATGTTTTCATTGAGGTTCATGAATCGTTCCGTGATAATTTTTTGATACAAATTGCTTGATCTGCACCAGAATGTGTTCTTTCCTTACCAGCACCACAGCCCTTAAATTATGTTTCCCCACCTGAGTATATGTCCACATTCGTTACTAAACAAAGTGGGCGCATCACCTAATTCTACAGCTCTGAGGTCTCTGATCCTCTAAGAAATGTCATTCTGCCTCTTTTGGTTTCACCCACTGCAGCGTGGTGACAATGTGACCTGATTCCATCTTGTAGTTGAGAAGCTTTTGACACAGCACGTCTCCCTTGTCACATCGTCCAGTCTCCTTGATTCAGATGCACCAAAACTATTCAAAGAAACAGGTGAAAGACATTTGTACAAAACACACACATTCTTCAGCCGGCCTGCAGGAGATCAGAGTGTCATCAGCAATAATCTAAAAATCGACCTCCTGTTTGTGCTAAATTACGAGGCTCACGATTCTTTGATACTTCTCCAGTTAAATAGATGAAATTAGCAACCAGCAGAACTAGCGGAGCTTTAAAATGAATCTCAGAACATCTCTGTTTTTATACATTTTGAGACAATATCCCTTGAATCACTGTATTCATGGTCTTGGCTTCCAAAGTGACTGTACCTTCCTACCCGTCCCTCTCCCTGCTAAACATTCAAAAAATATCTGGTCAGTTGTGGGTCCTACAATCTAATATATTATTCATTTAGTTTATTTATAGATAATTATTTATCACTTTTAAATGGTCTTGTGGAGTCAGGTTCCACCTCCTCTTTTTATTTCTTAGTGCATCTTTTGATGTTCACTCTAATTGGAAAACCAATCTTTCCTCTTTGGATCAGCTCCTGTGTGGTTAGATCCTTATTTATCTGAAAGAAAACATTGTGTTCCTCACATTAATATTGCATCTATACCTTCTGACTCCACTGCTCTGTTCTTGGCTGTCTGCTTTCCTCTCTTTATAATTCACCTCTTGTCCAAATTACATGCAGTAATTCCCACTCTCACGCTGATGACACACAGCTGCATCTTCCAGTAAAAGCTCATAACCCTCTGCTTGTGAAAAGTTGAATGTTATAAAATGGCTTTTTTTTTTAATGATGTTAAAACAGGCTCAGTTTGAACAAGCAACAGTAATTCAGTAATTCCTCACAGTGTGAAGTTTGGTATTTCTTTTGATCCAACCCTCTCTTTTCATCAGCGCATTAGAGACACCATTGAAGACTTGGTTCTTCTTGATTTTCTGGACGGCCATGTGATGGCTCAAAAAGTTTTGAGTTTTGATTTTAACAGAATCAAGAAAATCCATTTCATGGAATCCAGAACTTTTGAAGACTTGACGCCAACTTGAGGTTCCCTTCGCTCTCTGTCCATGTTGGATCTGCCTTCAAGGTTCCTCTACGATGACAGACAAAATCTTGAATTTGCAGGCACCTTCACACATTTCCAATCTCCTTATATGTCCCATCCCGTGTTATTCACCCTTACATTACCCTCTTCCTCTGAAACAACCTCCCTGATTACACCAGTCTTTCTGACTCTGTTGAGGCCTTTAAATCCAAACCATTATACTTTTTCTGTTAGTGACATTTATTCCCTAATGTTTTCCTCTTCCCTGTCCACAATTGTCACTCATGCTCTCCTCTCACGACCAGCGGCCATCCTGCTTCCGCTCTCCCTCACCTGGCTGTTGGTATTTCACACCAGATGTTTTGGATGTGATCCTTCAGGAGCTCCATTCTCCTCATATAAAGAATATGTGCTTGGTTTGGGCTCTTGTATGTTTGTTTAATGTCACTTCTCCAGGTCTTCATGGAGGCGAGGAGGTCGCATGGCTCATGAATGTTATTATATTCTTCATGAATGTTTATAATCTGTAATGAACCAGATTGTCAGTCTATGCAGCTGTACACAATATCTACCTGTCCATCCTCTTACAGGGATCCATCCTCTGTTGCTCTTTGTGAGGTTTATAACATTTTACTCATTAGATTTTTTGGGGTGGGGGGGCTGTTTCCTTCTCTAATTTGTGGGTCTAAGATCTAAGTGCGTTGACTCACCATGTGCTGAACATGAAGCCTGAGGGGATTTCAGCTATGAGTTGCGAAAGCACACATTTCATTTAACATATTTGAACAAACACTTCACTTTCTCTAATAACATACAATTGCTAAATTGGTTAAGAAAATTAATATAACTCTATCTTACTTAATACATCTGCTGGTCAATGACATTTTTATATTCATAATGTGGCAGATTTTTTCTAAGAGGCAACATTTCTAACTAGTCTGGTACCTATTTAATCAACAAATAGAGTTAGCCTGCAGAATTAGGGGTCTGGTGGTTTGCATGAGGTTGGCCGGGGATTCAGTCAAATTCCCTGTTTGAATGATTATTTTAGTCCGCCCCTGCAACTAAACATGTGCACAGCTCTCACATGCACTTCCGACAACAGCTGCAAATTATGTGGGTTTCTGTTTTCACAAAGCATCATTCATTTTGGGAAAAATCTTCCAATTTACCATGGGTGACTCACTGACAAACAAAACAAAACAATTAGAAATAAAGAAGCAAATAAACCACCATCTCCTCTCCTTCCTTGTTTTCTGTTTCATTCCCTTCATCTCCTCTCTTCTCTCTCTCACTCTCACCATCCCTTTTTTCTCCTTTCATTTCTTAGTTCTCTCTTTTTTTTCTCCCGTCCCTCGTTCCTCTGCCTTTATTTCCCTCTCTCCATCAGTACAGTCGGCCAATGACAGTGAGTGCTGGGGCTGAGGAAATGGATGGTGTGTCTATTTATAGAATCAGGGAAGGAGGGCAAACCAAAAGTAAGGGAACGAGAGAGAGGAGGAGGAGGAGGAGGAGGTGGAGGAGGAGGGATGAGAGGAGACGATAGACCTGCATTGTGCCACTGCCTCTGGTCAGAGACAGTTGGAGATTCAGAGAAGCAGCATCACTGGCTGCAGACACAGCATCTTGAATAAAAAACACATATCCAGCTGCAGAGAGAAAAGCCTGCAGACGGATACCTGCGATTGCAAGAGAGGAGAGGAGAAGAAAGGACTCGACAAAAGACAATTTGGAAGCAGGTGAGTCAGAAAGCAAATTGTGCAGAAATGCGTTCCATAATTACTGATAATGTACGGGGTGAAAATACACAGGCTGCCTGTTCTGCTGCTGCTGCCATGTGAACCAGTTGGAGCTGTTGTGTACCAAAGGTGTAGTCTAAATTTAGCAATGGTTACACCTTGGAAGAAACAGGGAGAGGCTGGTATTTTGGTTTGGCGTGCACTATTTTTGGCACTGAGGCTGGGACAAAAATACACTGTGGGCTACACTCAGGGTTGAAACAATATGGGGTTGCATGAAAAAAATACAGGCTGACACATTCTGTGGCTTTACATGACTGAGAAGCCCATTTAAAATAGTCCTGTATTTATGCTGCTTCTTTTCTGGGGCTGTTTGTATTTTGGGCTGTTTACACTGGCTCTCCAATGTAAGCAGATGGTGTCTGAATATGGGGGGAGAGAGGAGAGTCAGGAGAAGGTAGAGGAAGGTTTATATGTGAATAACGTTTTGATGGATATAGTGTACGGACTGTGATGGCTGTGTTTCCAAATGCTTCAGGCAACTAAGTGTCATTTGTCAATGTAATGGGCAAAATTCAGTGATTGGAAAACAAACATTGAAAGCTGTTAAAAATAACCGTGATGCTTGAAAAATTGTTGCCATCTCAGACACAAACCTCAATTATAAGACTCAAAGAAGCTGGTGAATCAAATAATGCTTTCTCTGGTGTATAGCACACAGATGTGATTGTTTAACACCAGCTAATATTGTCCACTGCTTCCTCTATATCCTGGAAAAAAGTCCAATAAATGAGAAGACAAAAGAGCTCAAACCAAATCATACTTATGGTCCATTACTCAGTGTGTATATTCCCAGTGAAGTGATGTTTTGTCTGATGACCTCTGTCTTCCTCGTCCTCCTCTCAGCCATGCGACCGCGGTCCAGACTGCTGTCCAAGAGACGACTCCTGCTGCCCACGATCAGAGAAGGCCCCGAGGAGACGGTGAGGGATCGGAATGAGGCCAACACGCTTCACATTGCATCTGTCTCCTCTGAGGACTACCTCCTCTCCATCTGCCACCTGGCTCACCCCACCTTCCCCAGCAGAGATGTTTCCCCTGACAACACACAGCACACAAGGCAGTTGCATGTTGGTCACCAGAGGCTGAGGCTGAGGTCCACTGGGAAAACATCCACCAGATATGAGTTCAGCCCCGCAGAGGAGGCACAAGCCGAGCAGAGAGAGGACGAAGAACTGAGTGGCAAGCTGATGTTTGGCAACTCTGACCCTCTGGAGTATCTTTACGGACACCAGAGCAACCTCTCAGGTGGTGTGAGGAGGGCGTTTGTGGAGGGAAGCTTCATGAGACAACATGGAAGCGTATGGGAGTGCCCGGCTCGCTCCAGGGCAAACAGCATCCCCCGGGCCTCAAGTCCAGTCCCCCCACGCCAACGCAAGAGCAGCTGCCCTGAGCTACACACCAGCAGTGACACATCAGCTCCGGATATCTCTCCAAAACACAGCTCATCCAGGTTGGAGGCCCAGAGAGGGACCCTGGTAGAGAGAGGAGCAGAGGCCGAGAGGCACAAACCTGCCGTCAAACAATCCCTGATCTCCCAGTGGATCTCTGACTGCAGGTCAGCGTGGAGAGAGGCGCGTGTGCGGGTCTGCATGCTGCCTGCAATCGCTGAGATATAGTGGCACAAGCAGACAGGCGTTGTGAAAGAAGACATTCCTCAATAAAGTGTCCAGGTCTTTTTCTGTCAGTGCATGAGACATTGGCATCAGGAGATATGTAGACGTGTATTATGCAGATTATGTAACAGGGAAACAAGTAAATACACATTCAAAAAGATACAGAGGCAAGTAATGTTGTCATGATTGTCCGACTGTAATGTTACATCAATGTCATCATTTGCTATTCCAACCCTCTTACTCTTGATATATGCTGGTGATCATACAAAACATACAAATCTGCAAAGTCCTTTTATACGTTTCTGTGTTTTGTGAACCGCATAGAAATAAATAAACAAATATTTTGATACTCCAAGATATCTGATCTGTGATTTCTTTTTTTTTATCATCGGCCTGTATGAGCTGTGTTTTCCTGCATGTGCAAACCCATGAAAATGAACTCCACTCTCGCCTCTGCTGGTGTCAGGAGCTGGAGTTTCTATGGTAACTGTCGTGGGATCCTGCGCTGGTAAACACAAGTGTGGAGAAACACAGGCTGAGCGAGGATGACACAGCTGAACCTAAACGCACAAGGTACACACACAGCATCTGCTGTCTTCACTGGAACAACACATTTGCCTCAAAAGAAATTCAGTGAGATGAAATAAACACCAGATTCCTGTTGTTGCTGATTCACATTAACACATTAAACATTTACAAATTAAATTACATTTCAATTGCACAAACCAAATATGATTTTTAAATTCAACTGTAGAACAATTTTTTAGCAAATATTGTCTGCCGTGCTTGAGTGGGTTTTGCAAAAGAAAACAGACACACACAAGACAGCAAGAGACAAGCCTCGGGCTGTAGTCTTGAATCTGAAACACTAGAGGGCATTAGTACATCAGTTATCCATAACCAGCCTCATTATATATTTTATAACCTCAAATCTCC